AACTAGCAGTGAACCCGTCCGGACCTGGCCCAGTAGAGCTTTTCAGGGCGCTAATTGCACGAGTTATCTCCTCCAGAGTGCAGGGGGCATTAAGAGAAGAAACTTGAGAAGGTGTAAGGGCAGGGAGAGGTATAGAATCCACCCACGAGGCTGCAGGTGAAACAGAGTCCGACCGTGGAGGGGCTAATAGGTTAGAATAAAAGTTTTCAAAAATGCCCAAAACCTCCTGAGGCAGAGATGAGATAGTACCCGAGTTAGTACGCAATTTATAAATATGTGGGGGACGCATGGAGTGATTCAGTTTCCTAGCAAACATAGTGGAAGCCGAGTTGCTATGTAACAAAAACGAGGCTTTTGACCAGCGGAGAGCTTTTTCAGTTTTTTGGGATAGCAGAGTATTCAATTCTAAGCGCTTTTGAGATAATAACTGTTTATTAAGAAGAGATGGGGTTGGCAATATGACTTCGGTAATGTGCTTCCAACTCACGGGTAAGAAGCAGAATTTGCTGCCATCGTTTTCTATTTCTGGATGAAGCCATAGAGATAAGGCGGCCTCGTAGGACCGCCTTATGAGCTACCCATAATGTGGCTGGAGAAATATCAGGAGCGAATTAGATTGAAAATATTCCAAAATAGACGCAGCTACTTCATGGCGGGAGTCCACATCCGTAAGCATAGAATCATTGAGTCTCCATGAGAAGGGAGTGGGTGCAAGTCCCATACATGTGATAGACAAGGCTATAATATTGTGATCCGACCAAGGACTCAAGTGGATGTTAGCTATCCTAGAGTTTGCCAATAAAATAGGGGTACAATAAATATAGTCTAATCTAGCATAAGAGTCATGTGGGTGAGAATAAAATGAATATTCCCTAGCTCCTACATTATGCGCCCTCCAGGCATCTACTAACTGGAGGGCCTCTAGTCTTTTAGTAAGTGATTTTGGGAAGGCGTGGGAAGAGTGCAAGGGTGCGCTACGGTCTAAAAGAGGATTTGCTACCAGGTTGAAATCACCACCCACCAACAGATGGGGTGACATAAATCTATCAAGAACATCAAAAAATTTTGAGAAAAGGGTAGCTTGTGCCGAATTCGGTGCGTAAACATTTGCTATTGTAAGTTCTTCTCGGCCTGAAAGGGTGCCCTTAAGAATAATAAACCTACTGTCTGGATCACGGTACACATGTTGAACCTCAAAGGGGATTGAATTATGTAGAAAAATGGCCACCCCTCTACTCTTGGAGGAGTGTAAAGTATAATACCCTTGTCTATAGGATTTATGGAAATATGTCGGGTGTTTTGCGGCTGCAAAATGTGTTTCCTGCAATAAAATAATTTTAGCCCCTAATCGCCTATATTGGAGAAAGGCTGTTTTGCGCTTGTTTGGCGAATTGAAACCCTGGACATTATGCGAGATACATTGAATCACCATAATATGCAAAAATTATTACTATCAGCAAAAAAAATACACATTGACAAGCATATACTCTAATTATTTGGCTAGATGTAAGGACCTTCAAGTCCGTAACAAATAGACTTACGGGTAGCATTACCAGTCTGGGGGACATCCAGACCCCAAAATGAGGGTCGTGATGTCCGCACACCGGCATCAAGCCAACATCATGTACTAAAGTTTTGAGGAAAAAAAAAAGACAAAAAACAGTAAAAGTGAAGCAATGATAGCTTCTACAATGAAAAAAGTAACTGAGAGACATGGATCAGGCAGGCAATTAGCCATACCTGAAAAAACAAAAAATTTCAACATCAAAGGGCCAATCGGCCCAAACCCTGTCTCCATAACACATGAAAAATGGAGCCGTCACCCCACAATCGGGCGGTGACTCCTCCGGTCATGTCAGGAGGCAGGGTGGGGTAACGTGTCCAAGAGTCGTGAGACCATGAATCAGTGGGCGATATTCAGAGGGCCCGAAGACCCTTGTTAGGCTTAAACACATCCAGTTATCAACGAGAGAGTATACATAGTCTATAGAAACACAGAAACAGCACAATAGCATCCACAAAAACACACATCCCCAAGGAGTAGGGGATGCTGAAAAATAGAAACCCAGTGGGTTGCCTCCTATCCCAATCAAGGGAAACCGCAGACCAGGAACATCGATACAAATAATAATAGGCAGGAAGGCATGGTCCCATCAGCCTAGTTCTTGTCGGGCCCTCCTCCTGTCTCTCCGTGGAGATGGAGTGTGCCAGATAGGAGAAACACGAGCTGTAGAAGGAGGACACTGAAGCGATGGGGCACCTGCCAGGCCCAACTTGGTCAGGATCTCTCTGCCTTCAGGAAGGGATGTAGCAATATATGTGCTCCCATTATGTGGAACTATCAACTTAAAAGGGAAGCCCCATTTATAACGGATACGAGCTGAAAAGAGAGCCGTTGTAACCTCCTTCATTTTCCTGCGCTTCTCCAACGTAGCCGGAGAAACATCTGGAAAAATTTGTAAAATTGAGCCTTCAAAGGAGATCGTTGGAGTATTGCGAGCAGCTCTGAGTATGTCTTCTTTGGTCAGGAAATCCTTTAGACATAGAACAATGTCCCTAGGCGGTTTATCACTAGGGGGTTTAGGGCGCAGGGCTCTATGGATGCGATCACAGGCAAAGGACCCGGGGCTGCGATCCGGAAGGAGAGATTTGAATAGCTTGGTAACGGTATGTGAGAGATCAGATACAGATTCCAGAATTCCCCTGACTCGCAGATTATTTCTGCGGTTGCGATTATCAAGGTCCTCAACCTGTGCCTGCAATTGTAAAAAGGCCGTGTGTAGATGATCATGTTCTCTGGAAAGGTCCCCATAGGCTAGGCTAAGTTCATCATGTTTAGTTTCCAAGTGATCGGTTCTAGAGCCCAATGTGGCTATTTCCTGAGAGAGAACGTTAGTGCTTTTGTGTAATTCTGATTGGAATTTGGCGGCCAGTTTGGTGTACATGGTTTCCAAGCAAGATTCCAGGTCACCCTTTGTAAGTTGTTGTGCAGCTTCACTGACCAGAGTTAATGAAGGAGCTGTGATATCCTGCATGGGTTCGGATGGGGATGCTCGTTCCGCGTCACCTGGAGACATGTTGCAAATCTCGTGTGTCTTAAGTAGATATGTCGTGAGGGACTTTTGAGCTTGTCCCTTCTTTTTCTTGGTGGACGGCATACAGGGAGTCTCCTGGGGGTGATCAACTGAAAAGTGGATAACAAAAGGAGATATTGACCCCAGGGGACCTATAACGCCCGAATCAGGTCTAGGGTTGTAATTACATAAACGCTATCAAGCTTATCCGAAAAAACTTTATATTGTAAATACAGTTAGCAAGCTGTGAGGATGTAGAGTGGACATAGGCCGTGGTGCACCCCATTAATAGCTCCAGGATCTGGGAGGAACGGGGGGGCAAGCACAGATCAGAGGAGCTCTCATGATGGCCCAAGAGTCCTCCAGGGCAAATCCAGTCAGCCCATGCACCCCTCCAGGGCAGTATATAGGCCTCAGTGGGCTTCTGGGCCCAGCAAAGGCCGCAATCACAGATGAAGGGGGTCCCTGGAGTGGTAGGCGGGAGTCCCGTCTCCCGAGTCACCGAAGGGGGACAGGATGGTCAGTATCCACCAGCTTGCTGCACTCACCGTGGCTCGGATGTGAGGGGGAGGAGGTCCGGACTGGATACAGTAGGCCGCAGCCACAGGGAACGGCAATATGCTGCGCCGCCGCTCCCCCAGGCCCAGGGGATGCAGAGGGTGTCACCGATGTCCCAGGGAGATCCGCCACCGCCCGGATGGCAGCGGATGCAGACACAAACCTCCGGAGTCCCGGACCATGCGGCCGCGCTAGGCCGCGCGCATCCGCCGCCACAGATGGCGGAGATATCCTCCGGGGCCTCTCTCCCAGGCAAAGGGGAAGCACCCAAAGCTCCAGCCGCTCCGCCGCAGTCCTCAGCAGCACGGATGGCGGCGGATTGTATGGGTCGGCGACGGAGCTCCGGATTATGCGGCCGCTCCGGTCGCCATCTTGGACACGTCCCATGACCCCTTTTTGCAAAGTATACACCCAAATCTATTTGCTGAGAGGCATTTTGTGTCCTTGGAACATTTTATTTTCACCAAGTTTTTGCAAAATGACAGAAAAGCATTTTCTTTTACACAAAGTTGTCACTTAAATGATATTTTGCTCAAACATGCCATGGATATATGTGGATTTACACCCCCAAAAAACATACTGCTACTTCTTCAGAACATGGGGATACCATATGTGAGAGACTTTTTGGCAGCCTAGCCATATACAGGCTCCCAAAATCCAATGCCCACCTTCAGGATTTCAAAGGGCATATTTCCTCATGTCACTTCCTTATTACCTATCACAGTTTTGGAGGCCCAGAAATGCCAGGATAGTCCAAACACACCCCAAATTGACCAATTTTTGGAAAGTATACACCTCAAGGAATTTTATAAGAAGCATGGTGAGCATTTTACAGATATCATTTTTGTCAGACGCTTTTGAAAAATAAAAAAAAGAAAAGAAAAAATATGTTTGTTTTCTTTCTTCATTTTCCAAAAACTTGTGGTAACAAATGAGATCTGAAAAATATTCACCATGCCTGAAAATAGCTTGGGGGGGTGTCTACTTTCCAAAAAAGGGGTAATTTGGGGGTGTTTGAACTGTACTGGCATTTCATGCCCAATGTTAAAAGCTTCCACCACTGTCAGGAATGGACTGGCCAGCAATGGTGGGACTCACCTGCCTTTTGATCTGCAGTACCAGGGCTGGCCAGCGGGTGCTCCCAGCAATCAGAGACTCAACCTTTCAGCCAGCTAACACCTGGAACTGATGATACTGGTGTATTTAAGGGATGGCCAGACTTGCAGACTCTGCCTTGGTGTAATGTCAGGGCTCCCAGGTATGACCAGAGGTGTGTGACTGACGCAGGGAAACGCAGACTTCAGATATGTGATAAACAATATAATTTATTAACACTGACAATACAAACATAAACGCAGTGCAATACTAAACATAATACAGTGCAAACAAACCCAACCAAACCACCCACAGATAACAGTACATACAAGCAAGCGTCGTCAGGCAGGCCGGGTCAATATCAATTGGGCAGGTAGGTACAGGGGGAGCAAGCGGAGAATGGTCGGGGTCACAGGCCAGGTTCAGCAGGTAGCAAGCAGCGTAGTACAGAGGGTCAGGCAGAGGGATGGTCAGGGTCACAAGCCAGGGATCAGAACAGGTAGCAAGCAGCGTAGTACAGAGGGTCAGGCAGAGGGATGGTCAGGAGCGAGCCGGGATCAGAGCGGGAGAAGTCAGCAGCAGTTTAGATCAGGCAGGGTCAGCAAAGGAACAGAAACAGGATGCAGGACAAATACAGGGCCCAGGACAAACACAACACCAAGGCAGAGTCTGCAAGTCTGGCCATCCCTTAAATACACCAGTATCATCAGTTCCAGGTGTTAGCTGGCTGAAAGGTTGAGTCTCTGATTGCTGGGAGCACCTGCTGGCCAGCCCTGGTACTGCAGATCAAAAGGCAGGTGAGTCCCACCATTGCTGGCCAGTCCATTCCTGACAACCACACATTACCCACTCTTCTAACCAAGGCTTTTCTGACACTTTTTATTTACATGCAAAAAAATCAGGTTTTTTTGCTAGAAAATTACTTTGAACCCTAAAACATTATACATTTTTAAAGTAGAGTCCCTAGAAAATGAAATGGTGGGTGTTGCAATTTTTTATGTCATATAGCATTTGTGCAGTGATTTTTTAAAAATGCAATTTAAAAAAATATATACTTTTTTGAATTTTAATGCACAAAAACACAATATATTGCCCAGTTGTTTCATAAAATAGATAGCACTTTAGCTATACTTGGTCAGGTATGCCTGATCTTAGCAGCGACCTCTTCTCCATCGTCTGAGCTACCTGTCAAGGTGCATATGCTCTCTACAGGTTTATATTCTGAGGTGGATTCTGTTAGTGAGGACTCACCTTCACTCTCATCCTGTAGGCCTCTTCACTAGAATATCTTATTTTGGACAATAAATGTATAGGTACCTAGTGCGTCTCATGGGAAAATGAGCTCCTGGATGTCAGGGACTGCTTGCACTGCTAGAAACAAAATTCACCTGCTAGTGCTAGCAGAGATCAGGCCTGATTCTGCTAATGCTGCGGGTTTGTGTGCAATTTATGATAACAGTGATGAGAAATTACACTGACACTGCACTTCTTGTTGGGAGGGGGTGGAGGGGCTTTTGCTGGCAGTGAACAGGGATGATCCTTCTAACACTGCCTTTTTGGGGACACTATACTAGGGGGACAGTGGGGATAGTGTGCAGGCAATCTAAAGATAGCTGACCCTTGCTGGGAGGGGCGCTAACTGACCCTGACACTATCTGATCTTGCAAGTGGCAGTAATACAGTGATCAGTGAAAAATTCTATATACTGACATTATACTAATGGCACTGGCTAGGTGACAGGAGTAATCAAAGGGATAATAGGGGCAATCAAATAGTTAAATGTGCTAATATAACATGTGTGGGTGTAGAATGTAGTGCTTTTACTCACAGCATGGTGTCCACTTTTCTCTTCCTGGACTGAAAAGCGTCCAGAAATATTCACTTCAGGAAATCAACACAGTCCTGGGAAAAAATAATTGGCCAGGACCCAGTGATGAACTGCTTATTCAGCGACTGACAAGGAGGTAAGCGGGGAGGGGGGGTTGAATGCATACACACTCACTTTGCTCGGAACTTCTGCTCACCCGCAATGTACTACATTATGGGAGGGTAGTTGGCAAGTAGTTAAATAAGATTTGCTGTTTTTTTTTACATACCGCCACCAGCGCAGTACAACATTATGGTATAACAGGCGTGGCGGTGATCAGGGACACTGACTGGTGACATTATGTTAAAAAAAAATCTAAAAAAATAATTTTTTGTTCAATATTTTTTAAAATTATTTTTTATTTTTTTACTTTTTAAAAAAAAAATATGTTCAACAGAGTAGTTTAACCCCCCTAGCAGTTTTCCTGAGTCTGGATCAGGGTTAAATCTAACTGTCAAAAGCGGTAACTCGCGGCCGCCGCAAAATACATACCTGGTCCAGCAATCCGTGTGTCAGAGCCTGGGATCGAACCTGGGCCTTCTGGGGTTAGAGACAGTGTTTCTTATCACTGAGCTACCTGGGATACTGGACAACACTCTGCCTGATCTATTGGATAAACCTGCCTTGTGCCTTATTTTCTCTTGAACTTTGAACTCCTTGCTCCTCCCATGAACTTCCTTTAAAAGCCATGTCCATGCACTTCCTCCTTGCCAGATTATTGTGCCTTCCAGCCAATATCCCGCTTCTCTGTCCTGCTGCTGTCTACATCTTTGCTACCGACCTCTGGCTTCTTATTGACTACGATTTTGCCTCATCCTATCTACTACGATTTGTGACCAACTCTTGGCTTGTGACTGACTCCGCTTATATCTTATCCCAGAACTGATTGATCCGCTATTGGTTTCCAGCTTCCCCTTTTACTGGTGGGGTGATCCTGAGACTGCGACCTGGTATTCATACGCAGCCAAATCCGTCTCCACCATTAGGAGCTCTGGTGAAGACCGGTGGATGCTTAGACCCCGCACTTCAGGTGAGCCTGCATCATTCCCAGGGTGATCTGCTGGTGTACGTATCCTACTGGTTTCAGGTAAGCCTTACACTGCTGTAGCAACTGGTCTCTGAACCTGACTGCATTCCTTGACACTGTGTCCCGGGTCCTGCAGCCACCTCGAGCCATCTGCTCCGACTGTGCCCTGTCTCCATCCCGGCTATGAGACAGCCGTGATGTGCTGGTGCTGGGCGGGGCTTGTGGGAGGCAGGGGTTTGAAAAATAGACCTGTGTAAAAATAAAGTGTTACTCTAGTGGATACATTGTAACATTAACTCAGATATATCCATAGTGCAGTTTTTCAGTTTCTGTGACTAAAAAACGTTTTGCACTCATGGCTTCCAAAAAGCGTCTTGCTAGTGCCAAAGCTGTTTTTGATGAGCTAGCAAACAGCAACAGTGAGGAGCTACTTGAACTGAGCGAACGTGACTCATGTGGAGATTTGTCTTCAAACACCGACAGTGAAGACATCGCCGAATCTGAAATTGACGTGAGTGATCTGCGAATGTGGCGCGCTATTGATTGCGGTCGTCGCCAAGAATCAAGTTTACCGGCGCACCTGGTATAAAATTCCACGTTGAAGGTGACAACCCCTTGGCGTACTTAGAATTGTTTCTGACCGATGAGGTTATTGAAATAATCGTGACGGAGACAAACAGGTACGCAGAGCAACAATTAGCTGCTCCATACAGCAGGATTTCACGAAGCAGAAAATGGGAACCTGTGACCAAAAGGACATTTGGCTGCCTAATTAATCTGCAAGGAGTGGTGAGGAAACCGCTGCAGCAGTGGTATTGGACCACCAACAAAATTCTTGCCATGCCGTTCTTTGGCACAGTCATGTCGGAGTACAGCTTTTCACTCATCATGAAATTTTTGCACTTCGTAAACAATGACGATTTTGACGAATCGACTCACCCAGCTCCCAAACTAAAGAAAATTTGGGAAATCTCCCAAATAATTCTCAAGAATTTACAGCAGAGCTTATGTGCCAGAGAGAGACATAAATGTAGACGAAAGTCTAATGGCCTACAAGGGAAGGTTCATCTGGGTACAGTACATTGCATCCAAGAGAGCACAATTTGGTGTCAAATCCTACCTTCTGTGCGACTCTTCTACTGGCTATTTCTGGAACACAATTATTTACACCAGCAAAGGAACAAAATTTCATCCAAAGTACAGCAAATATGGAATGGTAACATCTTCCGTCCTGTCACTAATTGAGCCTGTGCTAAACCTAGGTTACTGTGTAACATCAGACAATTTCTACACCTCTCCAGAACTTTATGAGGTTCTTCTGCAGTACAAAATGGATGCCTATGGAACCGATAGGAATAACCGGCGTAACCTGCCATCAATGTTTGGAAAAAGCAAACTGAAGTCTAGAGAAATAGTTGCCTGGCAGAAAGGGAAAATGATTGCACTGAGATGGCGGGGAAAGAAGGATGTGTGCCTGATGAGTACCGTTCACAATGCCTCCACAGTGATGGTACAATCAAAAGGTGGGAAAAACATTCAGAAGCCACAGGTAGTTATTGACTACAACAGCATCATGGGAGGTGTCGACAGAGCTGACCAAGCTATGACATTCTATCCAGCAATGAGAAAGCAGCAGAGGAAATACTACAAAAAGATTTTCAGGCATCTTCTGGAACAGTGCTTGTGGAATACCTACATTCTCTTCCGCAAAAACAGTGACAAGCCTATGCTTCATGCGGACATTATTTGGAAAGTTGCGGAATCCATCTTCCTGAAACACCAAACACCATCAATGTCTGTAGGTAGATCCGGATGACGTGCTGTGGGAGTCAACCCTGAATGCCAGACTGGATGTCACTTTATGTACCACATCCTACCAACCCAAAAAAAGGCACCACCTACATAGATGTGCTTGGTATGTTGCTCTTGGCAAGATGAGAATTGAAAATAAATCCGCAAAGAAACGAGGTTCCACTGTCCTGATTGTGATGTTGGATTTTGTTCAGTCCCGTGTTTCAAGATATACCACACCCGGGATGTTTTCTAGAACAAAATGCAGGGTCTATATAATATTGTTTGGACAGAGTTCCATGTGTTTGATCTGATTACATTATTTAATTTATTATTATATTATTATTTTTATAATTATTTATTATATTATATGATTTAAGATTTAATGTATTAAACTTTATCTCACCCAGGATGTCTACAAGACTCATTTTTTTTAAACAGATTTCAGTGAGTTATTCCTAATAATTGCAGGCCTACAATAAAAAAACAATATATTTCCATTAAAAAACAATGTACCACTTTGAGCACAGAAATAATGACATAATTATACCACTAGGGAGGTTAATGTTACCGTAGTAACATTGAAATACTTGGGGGGATCAAAGTTTTTCTTTTTTTTTACACTTTGTTTGCTGGTGCATTGCTATGAACTGTCATGAATGGGTTAAGTTCATGACATGATCTGTGACTGACTACAGCTAATCACATGGTACAGGGTGCTGTGATTGGCTCACATGGTATTACATGGTACCTGGGCAAATCACCGCTCACTAGTATCAGAAGCAAATCAGTTATGAATGGAATTCATTCATAGCAGCTTTGTTGACAACATGATCATCTGATTACAGGATCACTGGGTACGTTGCTTTGCTTATACATGCCACCCATCTGCAGTACAAGCACTGTGGGTGGTCAGCAAGTGGTTACTGAAATAATGATAACACACCTGTAAGGGACCGCCTGGCGACACCACTAGCACTCCACTAATCAGGCGTCCCCA